TAGGCTAACACTAAAAAACAACACAACAATTAATTTGAAATACATTTATTACGGCGAAGTATCTCGAATTCACTAATCTATCTCGAATTCAGACATAGGTCAAATATGAAATGGACAACATTGGGCTGCTCCTTTGGAACCTCCTCCGTAAAGGATCAACAGTTTGAATAATCTAAACGCAAGTCAAAATATATTTAAATAAACGTACAGTGGCTGGGGGTATACATCTGTCAACAACAGATAATTTTTAACTTGTTTAATCTTCTTTTCAAAATACGGTTGAAAATCTTCCCTTAAACGGGATCGTAGCAAGTCAAAATATTTATTAATAATAATTTTGTAGAATATTTTTTCTTGCTACGATCCCGATTAAGAGGAGCACTCAATTCAACATTCGAAACTGTAGTTTCCAAATTCATTCATCAAATTGAATTTCATTCAATTCCCTAAGTGTTTACCTGTACTTAACCTACTGAGGTTGATACAAGAGAACTGATTTTTTGTCAAACTTCAACAAACAGTGAATATTTCGACATAAAAAAGGTATTGATTTTATGAAACTATTCAACCAATCATCCATCGGTTGTGTCAATTTCAATGTCTGCCCTCGTGTCAATTAGACGCGTTTCGTGTCTTAAGCCGTTCGATATGGTTTTAAATATGCCTTGGTTTGGCAACTGAGTTTGAGTTCATTACCATTGTGTGGCAATAGAGGTGGTGTTTTTGTTGTTGTTGTTGCTTCGTATGCTGCCAAACAGATTTGTTCTGAGCGTCGTCTAGCCACATCGACTGAACATAAGTCTGCTTAAAGAGGATGTCAATCAGTCAGGGAGGTGACGTTTTACAAATTTTCAATCACACCATTTACAATTGAAATTTTATTATTTCTTTTATTGGGAATTAGATTTGAAAGTTGTAATTATTAAAATCTTAATAAAAAAATGTATACCAATTTAAAAAAATGCATTGTCTTGTCTCTCAAGATAGGGGAGATGTAAGCATTAAAATTGTGCACGTTATGGGGGAGGTATCAGAAGAAGTTGACCGCATTTTATGATTTTTTTGTTATTCAAAAATTTGACCCTTTGTGGAGGAGGACCAGCAGAAGTTGGCCGATGTATGCCACTTTCGCAGCAGATCTTGTGTTAGTGGAAATATGCATAAGATTTGGGGAGCTTCGGACTCTTATTTCACATTTTTTTGACCCTCTATGAGGGAGGTATTTGATGCAGTGGCCTAATATTGTTCATTTTCGCAACTGACCTAGCATTGATGCAAATGTTAGGACTCCATAAGGAAAATTGTTTATAAAAACATAATTTATGGGATTAAGCCTGACCATTTTGCAACAACAAAATACTATGGTATCCCGAACAAACAAGCCAACCCTGTTCTAAAATTGTTTTCTATTAAACTTTCGACCTTTTGTGGGGAGGTATCAGAAGGAGTGGACCAATATTGAACATTTCAGAACTCGATCTAAGTTTGACATAAATATTACGATGTACAGCATTTGGATCATATCGGATACTCTTTTTGAGAGTTATGGTACGCACCAGCTAGTCAAGTCCAAAAAGACCTAGGGTCTAAAACGGTTATATCTATGAGAAGACCCTCTGGCCTTCTTTGAGAAGACCTTCTGGCCTTCTATGAGAAGACCCTCTGGCCTTCTATGATAAGACCCTCTGGCCTTCTATGAGAAAACCATCTGGTCTTCTATTAGAAGACCTTCTGGTCTTCTATGAGAAAACCATCTGGTCTTCTATGAGAAAACCATCTGGTCTTCTATGAGAAGACCTTCTGGTCTTCTATGAGAAGACCTTCTGGTCTTCTATGAGAAAACCATCTGGTCTTCTATGAGAAGACCTTCTGGTCTTCTATGAGAAGACCTTCTGGTCTTCTATGAGAAGACCTTCTGGTCTTCTATGAGAAGACCTTCTGACCTTCAATGAGAAGACCTTCTGGTCTTCTATGAGAAGACCTTCTGGTCTTCTATGAGAAAACCATCTGGTCTTCTATGAGAAGACCTTCTGGTCTTCTATGAGAAAACCATCTGGTCTTCTATGAGAAAACCATCTGGTCTTCTATGAGAAAACCATCTGGTCTTCTATGAGAAGACCTCTTGGCCTTCTATGAGAAGACCGTCTGGCCTTTATGAGAAGACCCTTTCGCTCACCATGAGAAGAGTCTCTGGTCTTCGCTGCTGCCGCTGGTCTTCCATGAAAAGAGCCTTTGGTCTTCTATGAGAAGACCTTCTAGTCTTCTATGAGAAAAACTTCTAGTCTTCTATGAGAAGACCTTCTAGTCTTCTATGAGAAGATCTTCTGGTCTTCTATGAGAAGACCTTCTGGTCTTCTATGAGAAGACCTTCTGGTCTTCTATGAGAAGACCTTCTTCTGGTCTTCTATGAGAAGACCTTTTTCTGGTTTTCTCTGATAAGACCTTCTTCTGGTATTCTCTGATATGACCTTCTTCTGGTCTTCTCTGGGAAGATCTTCTTCTGGTTTTCTATTGGAAGACCTTCTTCTGGTCTTCTATAAGAACACCATCTGGTCTTACCTTTAGTGAGAATATCATTTGGTTTTCTATAAAAATAGTTTTTGGTCTAGTTGGGGTCTTCTCATCCCCTTGCCTTCTATGAAAAGAGTCTCTGGTCTTCTATGAGAAGACCTTCTGGTCTTCTATGAGAATACCTTCTGGTCTTCTATGAGAAGACCTTCTGGTCTTCTATGAAAATTACTCCTGGTATTCTTTACAAGACCTTCTGGCCTCCTTTGTGAAAACCTTCTGACCTTTCTTGAGAACACCTCCTGACCTTCTATGAAGAAACCTTATCGGCTCCTATAAAATACCTTTTTTCTTCATGGTGGAAACCTTCTGGCTTCTTTGGGTTTCTATAAAAAAAGCCTCTTGAATTTTATGAGAAGGCCAGGAGAACAACCTCTGGTCTTCTATGGGAAGATCTCTTTGTCTACGTTGAGAAGACTTCATGTTCTTCTATGTGAAGACATCCAGATCTTCTGTTAAAAGTCCGTGTAGTCTTCTATAATTTTTTTTTTCAGGAATATCATTTAGGAGAAGACACTTTTTGGAGAAGACGTTATTTTGTGGAGGGAAGTTTTTGAATTTTAAGGGGTATAAAAATGAAATATATGACCCTAAATTAAAATTGAAAGCCAATAAATTTGGGGTTTTATTCATGATAGTCCTTCCTTCCTTACGAGAGATATAATTAATTAATTTTTCAAACATAGTCATTTTTATTTCGATATTTGCGGTATTGTAAAATTGTCACAATTCAGGACAATCTGTGGAAATTTTCTAACAAACGCATTAAATTTGTGGAACACCATTGTAAAGGAATATATCAGCCGTTTCAAGTAAGCAACTTCACTATAATATACCAGATGCTTTTGACCTGAGGCCTCTAGAAAATGTTTGTCCAAAAAATACCAATTTTTAATCAATTTTCAACCCTTGAAATGTTTTTATTATGAAGACTTACTTCTTTAGAAAATTCTATACTTTCGCTAAATTCTAAGTAGGACAGAAAAATCAGCCAAGTTACCATATACAATTTTTTGTTAACTTCGGTTTCTTTATATCTGATGATTTCTACTCAGTTCACAAGCAGAGCTGTACGAATAATTTAAAATCGATATATTTCAAATTGCAATTTCTTTCAGCAGAAATACGTATATATCCAAGTATTTGTTATAGAAATCACAGAACGATGCATTCCAATTTTTAATAATTTTAAAGGTTTTAACAATTTTTCCAATCACATAGATGGGGAATATCTCTAAATAAAGATTTGATATTAAACCTGTATTATATTTTTTCTACGAGCTTAAATTGTATGTTTCATATAAATTCCGGGAGAACCTGATGGTCATTTCATTTAATTTTATTTTTGTTTAAGCTCTATTGTAATCCTCTTGCCCCTGGTAAATATCATTATTAAAATATAACACTTTTGGAAATTAATATTAATCCAAAACAAAAGACTTAAGACACGAACAGAAAACAACCAAAAAAAAAGACAAGACATTGAAAATCGCATCAACTTCATTGGCCAGTAAAATGTTAGAAATGACATACAATTACAAATATTAATACAAAGAAAAGATATTGCACACCTCATGGTTTACGTTGCTTAAATCAAAAGACTTAAGACAAAAACATCATCAAATTAACCAACATGAATAAACACGACTCAAAGTAGTTTTGTATGTAAAGTTATGTCGTCTATGCTCACGGTGGGGGTGAAATGGGCTGTCTACAATTGAGTTTTAACTCAAATCCCTTAAAACCCTAACCAAAATATAACAAAAAACTCTTTATTTGCTGAATACAAATAAAGAGAGATTATTTGAGTAAAGCCATTCAAATTCTCTTACCTCAATGCCTATGTAGAGAGTTATCACTTTGAGAGCCGAGATTTTATTCAGCAACTCTGTGTTGATGAGGGAAAACACACAAGTCAGAGAGTAGAAATAAATCGCTGCTCTTAAGAGAGTGCCAATAATGTTTTGATCTCTTAAATTTATTATTGTTTGTTTGTTTCTTTTATTGTTGTTGTTTATTTAACAACAATTACAAATGCGAGTAAAATATAATAAATTTCATTTGTTAATATGTCATGCCATGCCATGCCATTAAGCCAAGCAACAAAACATAAGAGTGTCGGATCGATGGAGTGGATTTTTCTTGGAGGTGGTTGGGTGTTTGTTGTTGTTGTTGTTGTTGCTGTTACTACTTAGCTTTGTTTGTTGTCTCTATGCTTGGACTTTTCATTATGTTTTTGCAGTATAAAACACAATAAGTTTCAATGGAAACGAATCATTTAAAGAGTAGAGCTCAATTGTTAAATATCAAACGGCAACAAAACATAGCAAAAATCGAAATAAAAGAAAAAAATCAAACGCGTTCCAAATCAATTGAAAGAAAAAAATAAAAAAGAATATATTAATATAATCTACGAATTATTAAAATAAAATTTTTAAACGAAAAATCGAAAAAAAATTGAAAACGAAATAAACTAAAAAATTGAAAAAAAAACTAAAAGTGAAAAAAGTTGGAAATATTCAAACGAGCCACAAAAAGGATTACCAGAACTTTAAGTGGATAACAAATACCAAGAATCAAAATGAAGTAAGTCCCAAGAAAAAAATAAACAAAATACTGGACTCTTTTTTTTTTGTCGATCCATAATTAAGTGTTGCAATTTCTGAAAAAAGCTGACTCATGGATTTCTTGTAGCCCAAAGGCCTTAGCTGTTTCAGTTTAACTACAAAAGTGTTGCAAATAAGTTCAAAAGTGCAATATCACATAAAGAGCTGTGTTTTGGTTTCGACTTTACCACATTAAAAGCTATAACCACAAGATATATGCAAATTAAAAACCCAGACTTTGTTATTTTTCGAGTGCTTAAGAAAAAAAAATAACCAAAGATCGAAAAAATACAGCAAAACTTGAACAGAAATTCGTTTTCCCAACCATCTTCATCATTATCATCATCATAATCATTAAATCATCTTCACTTCTACCACCATGGCCAGCAGTCTTCTTCTCCTTCTCGACGATGATTTAGCATTTTTGCATTGTGGGAGTTTATTGCCGACTAGATTTTTTTGTTTTTGTTTTTTTCCAATCCACAAGATTTTCAAATCTTCTTCATTACAATTTTATAGATCGTATGAATAATTGTTTGCTGTTTTTTCGAAGTGATTTCCTTGACTAATGATTCAATACAGAAATCTTCATATCCAAACCAAAGTCTAGACTTGTGTAAATCAGCTAGGTATCTGGCTGGCTGGCTGGCTGACTGACAGGCAGGCTAAGTTGTCTGTCATGATATGATGTTATTATTATTCTTCAATTTTTTTATTTTATTTTATGTTTTTTTTTTTTTTTTTGGTTGCATTTAATTTTTTGTGTGGCAAATAGAATGACAATTACTCATATTGATGTTGGCTGTAAATAAAGATTTATGCAGACGCTACACAATTGCCAATCAGTTCAGTGGTAAAACACTTCCATCAATGGGGAATCCCCCCTCCCTTCTCTCCTTGGAAGTAGTAATTTAAAATAATAAAACAACCAACAATTGATGGTGTCAATATTTGTTGGTGGAGTTTATCGTGGGTTTGTGTCTTAAGTCTTTTGTTTTTTCTCTGTCACATTAATGCCTCTCAGCACTGGAAAATAATTGCTCTGTTTTTTAAGCTATCTTAGCCTACATATATCTGAGTGTATGTGTATATTAGCTCTCAATTTGTCGTTTTTTCTAAACTAAACCAAAACCCTTTTCACTGTCCGCCCCCATTGTTGCCCAAAAATGTAATGCCGGTCTTTTCAAACTGTTTGACATAATACCATGTAATTATTTCAAATAAATGACACGGCAGTCTAGCCTAGATTTTAGATAATGGGATATTCGTGATGTATTTGATCTTATTTTGGGTTTACTACAGAAAATAATAAATTAAAATCCACAAAAGTATGACTTCAGTAGTTAAAAAATTAAATAATTAAAACAACTAAATTTTAAAATGCAGAATAAGATATTGTTTGGGATATGTGGTTAGCTCATAAACTGTATTTTTGTTCCTTTTTTTGGCTTATCTCTCGCAGAGTAGAACATTTTCTCTGTAGAAAAAAACAAACTTCTCATAACATACAGCTGGTCTCTGAACTGACATTTTCCTATTAAAAAAAATGCACAGATTGTTGTATATTTTCCTAATAGAAAAGAAATCCTGAATACAACAAGGCTCAGTAATCTGGACAGAATTTCTCCTATCCTAAAATCCTTCAGGTGAAGTTTCCTATAGAAACAAAATAATGCAGGCTTCTGATCATTACATTATCTGCAAACACTTTCGGTAGAAATTTCCGATCCAAGAAATATAGAGAAGGAAATCCTTCTCAAGATAAGGGAAGATTTGTTAAAAAAAATACACCTTGTGGCTGTCTTCCTATAGAATAACATGGCTTCGAAAATGAGTAGAATTTTTCTATCATAAATAATATTATTTTTTTACATAAAAAATCTTCCCTACCAGACTTTCCTAAAGGAAAAATATCTCAGCAGACTGAGAATAAGTTTTACATATGAAAAATTCATAAAATAAAAAATAATTTTCTAAAATAAAATTCTCCTCAGTTCAGATGAATTTTTTTCTTAAGGATCCTTTGGGAGTTTATTGTTTTTTTTTTTTCATAGAAAACAAACCACATCGTAGATTTTTTGTCTGTTCTCTAATTCTTTTTTGGGAATTATTTGTAAAGAAGCAATCCTCAGCTGGCTGGTTCGACCGAGGAGACTTTTTTCTATAGAAAAATTATCCTCAGCTAGCTGAGGAGAGTTTTTCATGTAGATAAATTGTCCACAGCTGGCTGAGGAGAGTTTTTCATGTAGAAACATTGTCCTCAGCTGGCTGAGGAGAGTTTTTCATGTAGAAACATTGTCCTCAGCTGGCTGAGGAGAGTTTTTCATGTAGAAAAATTGTCTTTATGTAGAAAAAATTTTCTCAGCTGGCAGAGGAGACTTTTTCGTGAAGAAAATTTTTTCTCAGCTGGTTGAGGGGACTTTTTCGTGTAGAAAAATTTCTCATCTGGCTGGCTTAGCAGACTTTTTCGGATAGAAAAACAAATCCTGAGAAGACTCTTTCAATAAAATCCCTCATCAGAAAGGCTGAGAGTTTTTTTAATAGAAAATTATTCTAAAGAAGCAACAACTTTTACACATCTTCCATTGAGCAAATATCTGCATTAAAGAATTTCACAAATCTCTCAATGAAATTTTGGTTAAAAATGCAAAAGATACTCAACTCATCCTTAGAAAACCAACTGAAGTAGTGGAAAATACCATCTATTTGTGATCCTGTAGAAGGAGAGGGCCTTTTACAGAAATTCTTTAGACGAAAGACTTTTTAGACGTTTTCTACAGAAAGAATAAAATTCAAAGACTCTTTTTATAGAAACGACCATTTACATGTCTTTTGCAAAGGAGGGAGGGTTTCATTTATATGTCCTAAGACGTCCAGAGAGGGAGAGAAAGTGAGAGAACTTCTGAAAGACAATATCTAACATGTCTTCCTTAGGCAAAATACGCTTTGCAGATCTTCTATAGGCAGTTTCAATTCATCCCTTCAACAGGCAGAAGTAGTAGACTATTTTCAGCTCTTGAATAGAGTGCTCTAAATGAATACCCTTTAATGGGTCTTCTGTGGACCAAACCTTTTAAGAGATCTTCTACAGAAAAAATGACTTTTTTAAATATATTCTTAAACAGAAGACCCTTGATAGATGTTCTGTACTATGAAGAGTTCTTTGTTTCTATAGCTAGAAATCCTTTTAGAAATCTCCAGTAAAAAGAAACATCTTCCGAAGGTAGAAGACCTGTAACAGAGTTATCGATATACAAAAAACCTTTGAGAAGACTTTAGAAGTCGTATATTGAGTATATAGAGAGACCTTTAACTCAAATCATCATTTCATAGTTGTTTTAAGTAAGACACCTTCGTCAAGCCTGAGAAACTTTTATATGTTATTGAAAAGTAAACAGAGGACCTTCTAGACGACTGCCGTAAAGGAGAGGTGTTCTATAAGTGCAAGATTTATAGTAGGTACATTTTTTAAAGAAGACATTTGGACTCTTTCAAAGAAAAGTCCAAAAACAGATTCCCTGTGGGAGAAAGACTGTCTTATCCTTCTACAGCTCCGCACTTTTCTTATCCTTAAAAATTCTTCTGCAGATATTCGAGATGTGAAAAACATTTTCAGAATTATTTAGGTGAGAAGATTTTATCCAGAAACAATGCCACAGGCCTTTAACAAAAGATAACTGTTTTCTGAATCTTTCCAAACATTTCATAGGGAGGACACTAGCTAAAGGACTTCCAGGAATAAAATACGTGCTTCTACTTTTCAATGAAGAGAAGACCTTTAACATGTGAGTTATAAATACTTTTACAAGTCTTCCAGTGAAATGTATATAAAAAAAGAAAGCATTTTTAAGATACATTCTACAGGTCTTCCATCGATAGAAAAGCTTTTGCAGGTCTCTTACCATGTAGACACTTAAAAATGCTCTCTGTAAAAAAATTATGATTGGTCATTACCGACCACGTACTTGTAGTTGGCGTAACAAATAAAAGCCAATATTAATTCTCACAAAAACAGTCAATGAAATCTTGAAATTCAAAAACCACAAAACGTACACACACATACACTCATACTCATAACACACCCCTGCCCATGTAAAATTATTTCGTACAACTAGACAAATTGTTGCAAAATTTTTTTTATTTTTGTTGTTGTTGTTGTTTTCATTGGCATATGTCAAGGTTAGAGTCGTGGAGTCGACAACTACACGCTCTAAACGTCCAAGCGAAATGACGTTTCATTTTAAAAAAATGTAAAAAAAATGTTTATTGTTTTGGATTGGAAGAAGAGTGAAAAAATAAAAACAAAAGTGAAAAAATAACGTTTTCTACAATTGTTGATAGGTTTTAATTGTTTTTGTGTTTCTGTTTTTTTTCTTGGTCTTATAAAATAAATGTTGTTATTTTATTTTAATGCACGCAATATTTTCCACAAACATGCCAAAAAAAGAGTAATTAACAAAAACACCAACTTCCACAACGAAATGGCGGGGCAGGGACTTTGACGACCTTGTAAAGCCTATTCAACTATTAAAGCGTGAATATCAGCGTGTGCATGTCTCTGTTTAATTAAAATGGAAGTTGGTAAATGTTTCTCAAATTAAATTAAATAGTGCAAAATACTTTGGAACAACTAATAAAAATAGCAACAACAACAATATACTGCCATATTTCATTTGGCGGTCTTGTTAACTGCCAACGAAAACAAAAGACTTAGGCAACAAACTTGAATTGTGCTACACATGTTGGTACATCATACGCGTCGGGTCTGGTCTCTTCTGTCTGTCTAACTGGCTGGGTGATGCCTCTTTACCTTCTCATGTCACATATATCACATTAGATGTCAGAACCAACAAATCCAACAACACCAACAAACAAGCAAAAGAAACAATACTCTGTTTTGTTTGGCAAAATGCCGCCTTTGGGTTTTTGTGGTAAAAAACCAAAAACAGAAACGTTGAAATCTCAGAACAGAAACTGGGC